ATGTACATCATAGTGTACATAAAGGTGTACAACCCCTCACATGGGGTGTGACCCATTTAAATAAAAAAATATTTTATACAGTTGGTCCCCCCGTGTGAGAGAGGTGTAGCCCATTATATACATCTTTTGATATATAAGTGGAATTGTTCAAAAAAGAATAATATGATGCGTTTCTTTCCGACAAAATTATGAATAAATTAATTTACTAAATTAATTAAATTAAATGTAAATTATTCCAAATGAAACTTAACTTATTTAATAAATGACACACACACTGGAATCTGAATTCTCATATAATAATCCATTTTAATCTTAGTTATGAACTTTGACAACACGATTGAATTTTTATAAATCACTGTCCTATTTTATTTAACAATCTCTCTTGAGTGATGTTAAATCTACTCTCATATATGATTCGACTATATTTTTATGAAAAATGCATGAATTTTTATGAACATTTAAAGATTCACATAGAGCGTAGCGATATATCTCTTATCGGACCATAGGACAATTTATATATGTCAAACATATTTCCCTTCTTTCAAATGCATAAAATAAGCCATCACATTCACAAAATTACCGTGTACAATAATTGTGGATAAAAGAAAATTATATAAATCATTTTATATCCAAAAACATGTTTTCAATGTCAAGTAGATAAAACTAAAGATTTAAAAACCATATTACATGGTTTATCGTTCTCATAGCATAAATAAACTTAGCCTAACATGTTATGAGAAAGAAAACAAACAAAAAATTGAAGAATCGACATCAACCAAATAAAGTTTGAATTGAATCTTCGAGTCTTGAAATCAATTTTTGTGTTTCCTGTCTCCTTCTGTGCTCCCAAAATCTCTTAGAATGTATTATAATTTGTGATAACCAATTTTGGATGATCTTAGGTTATTAAAAGACGTCTCAATATTTGTTTTCATAAGAGTTGAAATTATATAAGAAACCAGAATTTTTTTTCCCGATTTAGCCGGGGCGGGCAACCAGTTATAAATATTTTGCGAATACTCCTTGTAGCCATTTTCTTCATTATTTCTTTCATCTTGGTACAGATTGCTTCAATTTTAGTGCTTCAAGTTTTACTCAAATGCATATTAATCTCCAAACTTCCATCTATTTGCCAATGGGTTAATTTCACAAATGGTAACTGAAGTTATCTGAAAATTTCAAAACGGTCACTGAAGTTTCAAAGTTTCAGAAACGTTCACTGAAGTTTGAAATTTCTTTCAAAATGGTCGCTGAATTTTCAGATTTTTTGGCCAAGTTTGAGGCAATTATTCAGCAACTTCCGACCACCAAAATCGCCAATTTCGGATACCGTTGGAAAGCCCACGATATCCTCTTCAATTACCACCAAAAATCTCCCCAAAACTCCAAGTGATTCGGCCGGTATAAAGCCACGAAGTCGGCAACCGAAAATTGTGAAAATTTGCCCAAATTTTCAGATTTTTTGGGTAATTTTTCGGCAACTTCCGACCACCAAAACCGTCGATTTCGGATACCATTGGAAAACTCACAATATCTTCTTTAATTACAACCAAAAATCTCCCCATAATTTCAAGGGATTCGGCCGGAATAAACCCACGAAGTCAGCTACCAAAAAAGTCCGAAAATCTGCCCAGTTTGGGTAGCTGACTTTGTGGGTTTATTCCGGCCGAATCACTTGGAGTTTTGGGGAGATTTTTGGTGGTAATTGAAGAGGATATTGTGGGCTTTTCAACAATATCCGAAATCGACGGTTTTGGTGGTCGGAAGTTGCCGAAAAATTGCCTTAAACTTGCCTAAAAAATCTGAAAATTTGGGCAGATTTTCACAATTTTCAGTTGCTGACTTCGTGGCTTTATTCCGGGCAAATCACTTGGAGTTTTGGGGAGATTTTTTGTGGTAATTAAAGAGGACATCGTGGGCTTTCCAACGGTATCCGAAATCGATGGTTTTGGTAGTCGGAAGTTGTCGAAAAATTGCCTCAAACTTGGCCAAAAAATCTGAAAATTCAGTGACCGTTTTGAAAGAAATTTCAAACTTCAGTGACCGTTTTGAAATTTTCAGGTAACTTTAATGACCATTTGTGAAATTAACCCATTTGCGAATTGATCATTTTGTCTTTACCAATTGCTTCGAAACGGGGTCCAGAATTGATATAAGATAAAATTAACATAAGTTAAATAAAATCCAATACTAAAACGACATATATTATAATAACACATTTTATGGTATTCACCACTTTCCAACTTCACATTTCATTAACTTTTATCAAAATTTACTAAAAATTCGATTTTTATCTCTAAATCAAAAAGGGGGGCACATTGTGTAGATTTTTTACATATATTTTTTAAAAATCATTTTTTTTTTTCAAATTCAACCGTAGGAATTTTCACCTTGGAAAATATGTACTAAACAACCTTTAAAACTAATACGGTCAGTTGTTTTTGTTTAATCAATGTTTGTTAAAGGTTTGGTCAGTTGTTTCAATCGAAAAACCAAGACCCAAATTACAACATGGTCTGATTGCATTATATTAATCTCTTATTAGAAAATTGATATCTCAATCAGGTAAAGCTTGAACTGATAAATCAACCATGATTTTACTGGTTCTTAAATATAGAGCTTGTTTGGTAGATATTAAAATCGGATTAAAATAAAAAAACTGGCCGTTATTATTGACTTTTATGAGACGAATGAGACCCAATATCTGCTATATTTTAAAAAATTCTTTACTAAGTGCACGAAATTAGTTATTTTCATCCCAATAATAAAATATCGGATGTGGGAATCAAACCTCAGATCAAGTGCAATCTCAAGCGAATAGGAAATATTGGTTCTACTTTTTGCACATTGATAACATAACATTAACAAATATGAATGAGAAAAGGCAAGTGAAAAGGCAAAAAAGGGTGCATATGGAATCTTTAAAAACGGGTGGCGCCGTGGGGTTGGACTTCGCCGCATTTCCTCCCTGGTTTTGACATTCGTTCCTCAACTTTCGCTGGTATTAGATCCCCATTTTGGCCCCATCTTAAAATTCTTCAGAATTGGTCCTCAATATACTACCCAGACAGTAAGTCAATCCTGTATTTTTTTGATGTTGAATTTCTCCACTTTTGCTGGCTTCTAGATCCCTTTTGGTCTATCTTAAATTTGCATAATTGGTCATGTATTAAGCTAATCCTCAATTCTTTTTAAACAAACGAATACGTCCTCAACTTTTAATTGTAATTGCACAAACAGTCTATAGACAAAAAAAAAGTGACGAAATTTTAGTTAAACCATAATTTGTCACCGTGGAAACAGAAATTGTTTCAAGTTTCTAAACACCAACAAAAATAAAATAAAATAAACTCTAATAATTTTATAAAGTCAAACATGGAGACTTAATGTTCAACCGGGGATTTAAAGAAAATTTAGTTGTTTCGTCGTATAAATTGTTTCATTACAATTGAATCTTCTAGAATCAAACTCTTTAATACTGACTAGACTCCAAGCTATTCATGAATAGTAGCATTCTTGTAGAACTTATCATTAAAATCTCCTAATCGAAGTTTTGTCGACCCTATTTTTTCGTGCTATCTTCTCCCCAATTTACTCACATACAATGTACAATAATTTAACCGATTTGGTCCCTTTCAAGCAAGTTGGAGTTCTGTTCGAAGAAGTTGCCCAAATTGATTAGCTCTGCCTTTAGTAAATCAGCATTTTACTTTGGTCAATCTTATAGGTAGAAAATCTCGAGTTCATTGGATCTCACACAAAGACCGGACTAAGTGCTTTATGCTGCTTCAGGTAATGCATGCATATATATATGCACTTAACTGTCTCCTTCTTTTCCTCTACTTCATCGTCTCGTATCTAAACTTGAAGCTTTCAAGTTGGCGACGAACTCCATTTTTTCGTTACTAACTGGAGCAATACTTTGTGGCATGTCAAGTGTGTTTGTAACGTAAATTTGTCAATTAATGTCATATTTCTGGCTCATATACTCGAATGGCTTGTGTCGTGTAGAGGAATGTACGATATTGACAACAAAAAGAAGCTAAAAAGTAGTGATTTTCCTGCGTAAAAATACTTCGACCTGAATTTAAACCTAACACATAAACTCGTCTTTTTTCATGTTATACATGTTTCATCCCAACGGACAATGACATCTTATTACAAAATCAAGTAGATCAAACAATGACTACAACAATGAGCTCTACCACTGAGCTAATTGCGTGTCATGCAAGCCTTTCACGTGGAGTTCACCATGCCAAAAGTGACAACTTCTAGTAATCAAAATACTAAATTAAAAAATTGACGATCATGTTTAATGCTTTCTACTCAAGCTGCAGTCGTCTTTCCCGTGTCATGGAAAGTCGAAAGAACTTCCTATTCTTTAACCTCGAAGGGCTTGTAGGTATTGAGAGCCTTGTTTAGTCCTTGAATTGAGCCACAAGCAGCTGCCAATGCAACAAGCAAGCAAACTAAATTTATGACTTGAAGAACAAGCCACCTCCAACTCCATTTCCTTATTTTACCTTTTGCAATGTACATTTGTATGGGAAAATACACTGTCAAAGGCCAGTATCCAAGGGCTCCAAGGAGGGCAAGAATGTCATTAAAGAAGGGAAACACCATTGCAACAAGTGTTGCCATTATCACAAATAAAGTTCTCCAAATCATCCTCAGAAGGTTGATTCTCAACTTATGTTTTTGGATAATTCCTATGTTTATGAAGTATTCTTTTGTTATGAACTTTGATTTCGGCCATTTCTTGCTTGCCCATAATTCAACCGCACTGAAAATTGGCTGTGAAAATACCTGTTCAAACAATTCAAAATCATCACTATTCCACCCTCATCCTGATTAACAACATGCAAATCACACAAAAAGACTTATAGGGGTCACTATTTGTGAGCGTATACTTGTCACTTTGCATGCTTTAAGTGTAGTGAAGAAGAAGCGTGCAAAGGATTTCGCGTCTTTCTCGTCCCAAAAACGTCCTCTTCCCAAAATCCTTCCTATATGCGGGAAAGTTTAGGGCGACATATTACATATATAGATCCGCAATTAAGAGGACGTATGAAATAGATTCTAAGGAGTGCTAAAAGTTGGACTTGAGCTAGAGCATTTTTGGGTGGTCTGGATTTTTTTCGGGATTTTGTGAAATAAAAAAGATGGACAAGTTTTCTTTGTATCCTCAAGTTTTGTATCATTATGAATCTTTAGCACTAGGCATCTAGATTGATATCATTAGCGCATCTTTGAAGTTTAAAGCCACAGTATGCCCGATGTACTTGTATATGATTTTTTATCAATATAATTCACATTTACCGATATAAAAAAAAGATGGACAAGTTTTATGAATTAACCCCCTTTTTTTGGCAGAGAGAGGGTTCATCCCTATTCGAGGGGATAAGTAAACAATTTGTTTAGACTTCACATATATAGGGCATGTCTGGTGCCAATTTTAATCAAGAATTCAACCATTGGTGGGCCACATTGGTTGACTTTCTTCACACATGAGTGGCAGCTATGGAACCCACTAACGGTCAAAATTTTGCTTTGTAGTGGAAGCAGACAAGCACATAGTCTGACAACTTTCGTAGCGTAGTTAGAAAGGTGGTCTAGACAGTATTAAAGAAAAAAAAAAGCGAGGAAAAAGAATGAGTTTAAACCTGATATGCTCCAACCAGGTGCACCACAATGAAGCAATTGGCAAGATCCACCAACCAGAATGGCTCATAAAATCCAAATCCAGTTAACAAATTGCCTGGTGCATTGTTCCCAAATGCAGCATAACCCAAGCACCCACACATCATATAGAATACTGTTGTAGCTGAAACAGCCATAAAATTGGCCTTTTTCATCACTTGGTTTTCAGGAGGTACTGCTTTTAAAGTATCCTTACAAGATGTAAACAATGCATCATAAGTAATCCTTTTTGTCAAGTCAAGCAATCACACGATGTAAGATACGCTCGATTGGACAGTATTAAATATAACGAAGCATTAAAAGCACTATTAAGCACTCGGCTAACAGCGAAATTTCATGCTAGTTATCGAACTTTATTTTTCAAAGTGGTAAAAGAAGTTTATTTTTTGTTTAATTTGGTCGCTCCATTAGAATCTGTTACTTTTTCTAACGAAATCGAAGATCTCTGCATCATACATTATTAGTAAAACTATCAAAGTACGTAAACAGAGCGACTACTTTGAAACAAAATGTAGTAAAGCTAACGAAGTATCAAACATGCTATCGGTTACAATGATTTTGATTCATTTACCTGAATTTCAATCAAAATTTGAGAATATGTGTAAGCAAATGCAATATCGCCGAGAGCTCTGAACATTCTCCATGTCTTTTCAGCTGCCGATAAGCTAATTCCGACTTCCACGCCTGAAAGGCTGGTTCTTTTTCCTTGGCCTGCCGAGTTATGTGGTACTGAGAGTATGTTTGGCTAAGCTTGAAACGTGTTTAGATGTTAGATAAGTTAATTTTTTCTTACAAGAAATCATACCTGAAATGACTTTTGCAAATGCAAGTCCAACACCAATAGAAGAATACCCAAAAGACATAATTGCTGCAACAACAGAGAGCATGGATAATTTGTGGAAATTGGGAATTTGAGATAAAAATATTTCCAATATTCCCAATGCAATCATATAGGGATTGTGAGAGACACTGCATGGAGCTTCATGACCTCTTTTGTGAAAGCAATCTGATTTTTGTATTGCCCTGAAATGACAACATTTATCAAATCTAGTCGATGAATTGAATCGAATCATACAAGGCGTGATATGTATGTGCACATGAATGTCATTGTCAATTGAGTTCAAATTTCTCTCATTGTGATGAAATGTAACGTTGACATGATACCTTGAACAAGTCAAATCAAATAGCATATGTATTGATGTGTGTGCATGTGTGTGTGATCACCATCAATAAAGTTCCGATTATTGTATTGTCTTGACGTGTAACATTGATAAAATCCTGTGAATAAGACAAGTCGAGTTGTGTACACAACTACATGTGTGCATTGATTAATACTCACTATCATATAGATGTGTCATGATTCTTGTATTGTCCACAAACTATAATATCGTTAAAGTCTTGTGAAAGAGTCAAGTCGAGTAGAGTGATACACGTAATGATGTCCAACGTCAATTATCGTCTAGAAATTGTAATATTGACAAAATGTTGTGAACCAGTCGAGTTGCATGCACATATAGCCAGTGTTTGATAGTCATTATTTTGAAAAAATGGAGTTTTGAATAGTGATTTTTTGGAGAATATGTGGCTAAAAAGTAGGAAATATTTTGGATTTACGTGCAAAATATTTTATTGTGTAAATTTGTCGTTGAAAATGAGTATTAAAATTGAAAAGTTTTGAAATAATGATTGTCAAACAGTAACATAATATGTGGACGCTTGTAAATATATCGCTATTATTGAAACCTGAGTTTCTTATTACTTAGAAATGTAATATTGACAAAATATTGTGAACGAGTCGAGTGCGCGAAAGAATAATCATTATCAAGTGATAAGTAATACTTACGCCATGCTTATTGATGCAGTGATTGTATATCCAATAATCATTCCACATAGGTTGGCATATTGAACCATTCCACAAGCCATGTACATTCTTCCACCTGATTAGTCCAGTGGATACATTAATTCAATGTCAAAAAAGTTATAAATAAATAGTTTCTCTTATTTTTTAATTATTTGAACTTTTAAATAAGTTGATCGATAATATATTTAATTAACACGAAAATCATGCAGTCTTACCTATGTTGTTTTTGACAGCTTCCATGTAAGTGTAATTTCTTTTTCCAGTGATCGGAGATCGATAACAGTCGGATAAGAGATTTGAAGTATAAAATGTGATGCTGGAAAAAACTACAAGAGTTGTTATTCCGGCTATCCATCCAAGCTGTGCCACCCCCCACGCCAGTGAAAGGACACCAGAGCCGATAATTGCGGTAATTATGTGTGCACTTGCAGTCCAAACATTCCCTAATATATATAAGATGTTGATTAATTGACACATTCGATCAAACATATTAATTAAGTATTTATACGTATCATATTTCTCCGTATTGAGATTCTATTTCATTAAAGGAAAAATATATTACAATGAGTAATGGTCAACATTTAAGCGAGCATGTTTAGCTAAGTTTTAAAAAAAATAAAAGCATAATTTTCTAAAATTGTTTTTAGGAAAAACAAAGGTATTTTTGAAAGCCAAAAAAAAAAAAAAACCCATCAAAATAAGTATCTTGTAAGTAAATTTACTTAAAAGTAATATTTTTAACCTTAGCATATATTTGACAGGTGTTTGTCTATGAATGTGCTTATATAGAAGTAGAAATAAGGTGTGGATATACACTACTTATCGATCACACGAAATATTGAAATAANAAGTAGAAATTAGGTGTGGATATACACTACTTATCGATCCCACGAAATATTGAAATAAATTATATTTAAAATTTATATCTTTTGCCAAATAGTACTATGGTAATAAACTGTATTAAGCAATAAATTAATTTCTATTCTCAATAAATTTAGCATATGTCAGGTGGGAATTAAAATCATATTTTTAGAGGATTTTGATAGAAGTTGAAGAAATGAGTGATTAAAAAGTTATGAAATCCATAAAATATGTTATTAAAATTAATTATTGATTTTAATTTTAATTATTTGGATTTTAATCGATATCAAACTGGGGCTCAATATATGCTACAAAAAATTATTTTTATTTTTGCCACTTAGTTCAATTTTTCATCCCACCTAATATGTTACGTTCCCTTTCCGCTCTACTAGTGGTGGAGAGAGGTGGGACTAGTGAACTGAAATGATATGTTTTTTCATATAACATTTTTATTTTAAAAATATTATTATATTTTGTATTTGAATCCCCCCCCCCCCCCGCCCCTTCTCTCATATTACCTTTTCATCCCACCTAATATGCTACCTTCCCTTTCCGCTCTACTAGTGGTGGAGAGAGGTGGGACTAGTGAACTGAAATGATATGTTTTTTCATATAACATTTTTATTTTAAAAATATTATTATATTTTGTATTTGAAAAAAAATAAAATTGTACTTCAATTCTGTCCACACTGAGAACGGGTCGTGGCTACTGCTTCACAGTAACGTGAAAGTTGCGAAAAGAGGAACGGAAACACAACAAAATATGAGTGAGTGAGATTAAGCCCTTGTTTGGTAAATATTAAAATTAGATTTTTAGTAAATCTTAATAAAAGTCAGTGAAATGTATAATTGAAAAGTTGTGGTCCTATGAAATGTGTGGTTAAAATTAATTGTTAATTTTGACTTGAAATTTTAATTAGATTTTAATTCAAACCAAACGGGGGATAAGTTTACATACTCATTTTCAATTACAAATTCACACAATAAAATATTGTAGTAGTAAATTCAAAAAAATTTCCTGCCTTTTAACCACATATTCTCCAAATATTTACTATTCAAAATATTTTTTTTTTCAAAAACATGGCCACAAACAGGGTCCAATAGAAAATTGCTATATTTCATTTTGGCTTCGGAAGAGAAAATTGCTTTCCCCACTTTTTACGCTCACCGCCGCCCATGCACCGCCACTCGATCGTCAGCCTCCCAGTCCCACCACCCACCAAATCTCTTCTGGAAACAGTAAATGATATTTATACTACCAACACTTAATTAATATGGTCATAAATAAAATAATTAAATATACCAACACTTGCAAATTGATGGTTTCAAAAATAATTCATCTATATATGAAGTGTTTGTTTAATGTAGATTTTTAGTAAATAAAATTGATAAAAGTCGATGAATCTCATAGAACGTGCGATTAAAAGTGAATAAACTTTGTGGATGGAATGAAATATATGATCAAAAATGAAATTTGACTAATTTTATCAAGTTTTTAATCAAAGAAGCTCTACCAAGTACCAAATAAGCTCGTCTTTAATTTTCATGTTCAGTATTTCCGTGCATGTTCGTGTTTCCTAATTGGTCAAGGATTGTAGTTTCTACATACGACCACAGCACCTCAACAAGTCCGTGCTTTAACTAGTAGAACTACGATCCAAAACACGTAACGATTTACCAGAAAACTGGATTTTTTTTTTTTACTGGGTATAATATAAAGGATAAGACGTACGTTTGTATCATCTTACAGTAGACTATCAAATATTGGGTCGAGTTTTTTCATGTCAAATTACAAAAACAAAGAAAAATGGCCACCACACGCAGTGAAACGCAGCTGAAAGGAAAAATAAGTAGACGACGCAAAAAAATTAATACCTTTTCTTGTGGGCTTTCCATCATCTTCTAACTCTGCAACATTTGCAACTTTCTGAATCTCCAAGCCAGATTCACATACATCAACCTGAAAATTCTGGTTCACAAAGTTTGCCATTGTCAATTTCCTTTTGGGAAGAAGTCGAGAAGATCCGTTCGTTCTTTTTCTCTCTCACAATATAGATGCTAACAAGAAAGTTGGCTCATTTTTTATAACTAAGGAAATAGAGTATAAAGAAACTATGCATAGAGGTTGGAAACTTGTTTTTTGGTTCTTGAACTTGGATTTTTATAGTCTCGGGGAATACTTGTATACTATCCAATGTACACTGAGAAAGTTGTGCTGTTTATTGGATATCATAAGATTGGTCATAGATAATAACTGATTGAGTTGACCAGTGATCTAAAGTGGTCCTCTCTGATGAAAAAGCAGAAGGAAATGCTGCAATGTATATGTATATATGCGTGCGTGTGTGTGTATTAACCTACAGGGTATTAGCAGTCGAATCCTCAGGAACTGAGTCAGACCCGGTTTAGTTCATTTCGAGCGACAATCCTCTCATTTCTCAATACTCAATATGTGACAAGCAGGGAACAATTGAAGCATATGTATGTGTGATACCAACATGGACAAGAACTTATGCAATCCCATTAAATAGTCCCAACTACCTCTTTGGAAGGTTGTTATTAAAGATTGAAGGCAAGAGCCACATAGTATAAGAGTAATGTTATTCATCCTCAGTGGGGATGAAAATTAAACAAAGTCTATGTGTCATTAAATGATAGGCTAAATGAAAGGTGAAATTAAATGACTTATTTAATTTCACCTATCATTTAATGCCACATTAGCGCCACATAAACTGTGTTTTCATCCCCAGTGGGGATGAATAGCATTACTCTTAAAATTAGGGATTCCAGTGGGGATGAAAATACAGTCAGATGGCTGAAATTAAAGGTGAAATTAAATGACTTATTTAATTTCACATATCATTTAATGCCACATTAGTGTAACCTAAACTGTGTTTTCATCCCCAATGGGGATGAATAGCATTACTCATAGCATAATAAACCTCTCATTCTCTACAACCTTCTGTTATTTTTTTAAAGAAATTTATTTTTGTGAATAATGTTTTCTAGTCCCCGTGTCATTACGTAACATGTTAAATTAAATGTGAAATTACGTGATTCATTTAATATCTTTCATTTAATGAAACTTAGTGTCACCTAAATTGATATTATAAAACTAGTAAATAATACTTCATCCGTCCCAATTATATAAGCTGAATTTCATTTTTCTCTTGTCCCAAATATATAGGCATGTTTCCTAATGTAAAATATTTGAGTAATGCTATTCATCCCCACTGGGGATGAAAACACAATCTAGGTGGAGCTAATGTGGCATTAAATGATAAGTGAAATTAAATAAATCATTTAATTTCACCTTTCATTACACCTATCATTTACAGCGACCTAGACTGTGTTTTCATCCCCACTGGGGATGAATAACATTACTCAAAATATTTTGTTGTATTCCTTTACCAATATACCCTTATTAATTTTTTCCCACTTAGAGCTTGTTTGGGAGGGATTTTTGGAGGAATAATTGATTTTGAATAGTGATATGATGGGATGTGTGGTTGACAAAGAAGAAAAAAATATTGATGTGATGGAAAATATTATTTTATTAAAGAATGTGTGATTGAAAATGAGAATTGATTTCTTGTAGAAAAATCTAAATCCCTCCCAAACAGGCCCTTAATATGCCACCATCTGGATATCATTCAAATACACACATTTCCCACTTCTTGGAAACATGAAACAACTCTCATTTCTTCTTCTTCTTCAAATTTTTTATTAGTTCCAACAATAATTTAGTTTTACATACTGAAAATTAAATAGTGGTAAATTAGGAAAGATGTTGACAAAAATTAATGTTTCAATGACATTAAAGAAACTTTATTAAGCCGTGTGAAAAACGAAATAAGCCTATATAATTAGAACGGATGGAATATTACTCTTTTTTCGTATTATCAAAATGGATGAGCCAGTCCACTCTCTCTTGGAGGATTGTCACTAGATTCGTGAAAAAATTGTACCAAAGATGAGTCCTGGCTTGATGGCCTGCGCACCACTTCAACCTGGTTCGTGTAGTTTTTTCTTTTCATTTTTTTCACTAAAGACCATGAGAATGCACAAAACATCAAAAAAGGGGTTGAACAAGTCCGGTATGAGATTTATATTTTCACCATATTTCTCAGGTGTACATCATATTTATTTTTTAATCAAAGACTAACGTGTGATTTTTTTCATAGATAGTAACAATGAAATATAAACTCTCAACTTGTGCGTACTCTAATACCACGTTAAATCATCTAATTTAAAAGCTTAATTAGCACAACATTGTCTCGGTACCATCCCGTCCTAACGTAAGAAAGGCTTACTGGTTTAGGATTTAAGAAATACCATGGGTCCTAGAATCAAAATTGGGATGCTTCAAATTAAGGATGCTATCAATGAATTAATCTTATGAATTATGTTACATGTACAATCGACAACCTCATATTCTTCCATTTCAAAAACTATTTTTTAAATCAAAGGTCCAAATTTTGACAACATCAATATTGTCAATCATTATTGTTAAGTATGATTGTACAAATAACATAATTGTAATTTTATACCAAAGTGGAGGGCATAATTTAAGGACTTTTTCACATCATTCTTCTTTGTTTGATAAGTGCCATCTAATTTCTTATTGATATGGCCTACCCCAAAAGGATTTTCTTCACACTTTGGCTATTAGAGAACAAGCAAATATACAATAGTTAAAGATAAGATCTACAGTAATTAGGAGTTGACATGATTCCATTTTGTTCTGGATTCAAAAGAATCGAACCGAACCATAAACCTATGATTTTTTTAATAATGGAACCAAATGATTTTTAAAAAAAATATGGAACCATCTTGGAATCGAACTATTCGATTCTGGTTTAGTTTGGTTCGGTTCTAATGTTATTACTAATTGAGAAAAAAGAGAAAGAACATTTGAGGAAGAAAAATCGAAGGTTAATACTTCAATTTCAGAAATCCATACAACGATGAGGCTAAGCGCGACAATAGACGGTAAGCTATGTTGTTGGTCTCCATGTTAGAGTTGGTGTGTATAAATTGAAAAAGAGAGAAAATGAGAAATGAATTAGAATCCGAATCTCCAAAATGAATTATGGTCTTCAGTCTCCTTGTTGAGAAATGAGAAACCGAAGGTACACGACATTTTTCACCTGATTTTCAATTGAATTTTAAATCTTTTTTGTGTGAATTG